TCTCGCGATACACGCGGAAGCCGGTTCCCCCTGACGTCCTGGAGACGTGAGTGAGGTGGGGCCGGGCCGGGCTCCAGCTGCGTGCTGCCCCGCTCGGCCTCTCAGCAAGCCTTGTCCCCTTGCTCTGGGGTAGGAGAGGTCCGGCGGGCAGGACAAGGCTTCCGCCAGGGGAGGCTCTGGGCGTAAGACTGCAGTCCCCGGCCCGGGCATAAACTGCTCCTGACTTCCGAAAAGTGTCCTGGGCTGTTTAGTGACCGCAGGCGCCGTCTGTGCCTTGGCAGAGCGCGCGTCCGCCGCGTCCTACAGCTTGACACCGTGGCTCCGAAGTGTGAAGCGCTTGGGGAGCTTTCTGGTTGGACAGCACCTGGGGCGTACTAGCGTATTAGACAGGTGTCATCTTCAGCCAGGGCAGCTAGGATAAAGTTACTTGGATTAGTATCCCTCCCACTTGGTGGGATAAACCAGTTGTTTAATTTACAGAGATTAGGAAGGAATTTCCTGGATGGACATATTTTTGACTTGGGAACAATCGGAGAGATAAACTCTGCTGACCTCATGTCTACTGAGGCATTAATCATGAAGGCCCAGCTGGGCACGTGGCTCAGACAGACCACTCATGAATGTCCAAGTAGCTCCTGTTCAGTAGAAGGTGTCCAGGGACAAAAAGGGGAGTTGCCTAAGAAAGTACTCCAAGGATAGCCTAACGACCAGGGATCCTGTTTTTCTGCTTTTACATCCAAAATTCTTTGATTATAAAATCCAAAGTTTTCTGAGTAAAACCTCCCAAATCCATGTTTTGCTGTGATTGATTCTCCCTCCCTCAGATTGTGGCCACCTCAGTCTCCCCCGCCCCCCCGCCAAATATTGCCTATGACCCCCCCTGCCCCCTCACGTGTCGCCTGTGCCTCCTCCATAAACTTACCTGCAGGCAGCTGGGGGAGCTGCTCTTCACCACTGCCTGGCTGTATTGCTGGCCTTGTGCATGTGAGCCTGCATCCCATTCCCTTCGGCCCCAAACAGCCTCTTGCAGGCTGGAACTCTGCCAGCCTGCAAAGGGAAACACACTTTAAAGGAGAAAATCCATGTTTTTTTGTGGCAAATGGAAAAGTTGGCTAATGACCAGGGATCCGGGTTTTCTGTTTCCCACGGAAAAATGGAGAAAATCACGGATTCCTTGTTTTTATTGCAGAAAACACGGATTTCTCTTTTTAGCAGAGAAATCCGCAGATTCTCCACTTCTGCAAAGAGCTCTTGCAGGCTGGCAGCTCCAGCCTGCAAGAGCTGATTTGCAAAAAGGGCGGGAAACCCCTAGCCTTGGTCCAGGGGGAGGGGGAAGGGCAGGACCTGAGCCTCTGAAGCAGCCAAGACCGAGCTTAGGCCCACACTCAGCCTTCACCCCTGGAGCATGGAGGTAAGTGGGGCTTGTGGCAGGGCTGGGGAAGATAGTTGGGGGCTGAGGGAGTTGTGGGTGCTGGCCCCAGGTGGCACATCACAGCTGGGAGCAGCACCAGGGGTGAGGGCAGGGGTGCCCCTCTGCGAGGAGCTTTGCAGGCAAGTGAAGTGGGGCGCAGTATGGTGGTGCCTGCCCTGTGCAGGCCGCACACATGCCGCCCTGCTGGCTGCCCGGAGGAGGGGGAGAGGGAGGCTGGCATGCGGTCGGAGCACAGCTCCCTGGCTGGCTCTGCAGCCACGGTGAGGGATGGGGGCAGGAGCTTGCGCTCAGGCTCGCATGCGGTGCTGCCGCTTACGTGGAGGCTCCTGACGGCGGT